TTTACTTTTAAATTTTTTTCCACCTCGTCGACTGGTTTCAGTGAGTGTATATCATCGATAGTAGAAAGAGGGTCGCGTGACGACTCACGCTTCATGGATTATTTCCATTTTATTTCCAACGACTTCTGGTATGCTGCGATTTTAACGATACACTGATGGGAGGAAGTATAATTTATTGGATCGCCTCTGCCAGGTGAAGAATAGAGTTATTAACGTATTAGAGAACAGGAATGCTCTATGTCAAGAATTTTTGCAAAAATTAATTCTTTTGTTATTATGTGCCGATTAACTAGTCCGAATTTTTACAATTATGATAAATACAAGGGTTATGAAAATTTAGTAGTCTGATATTAGCAAATTGATTCCCTATTAATTTCATGATTAAATAGTGTACATAGTTTAGTACATCAGAATTACAAAAGTCATGTCACTGGTTTAAAAAATTAAATTCATGAATCTATTGCACAACGAACGTTGGCAACCTAACCTAACATCCTAAAACCACTCTTTCTCTATATACTCATCAATGACCTTTATCTTTCGTGCTTCATAAAAATATTTTAAAAAATTGGAAAAAAACGCTCTTTTAAACAATCTTTATACTAAACTACCTTTAAAAAAAGTAATTTTATCGTTACGTGTTCCTTCATTCAAGAAATTCTGTGAAATTCTTAAATTCACAAAACGCATGGGAGTATTTCCATTTAATTTTTGTTTTTATCTTGCAGGTAATTCCTGTTCGTGTCTTGTAAGTTTTAACTCAGCCTCTGAAGGTAAAATATATATAATCAATATCCTCCAGCCGAGCAGAGGAAGATCCGGTTGTAGAGTATTAATCGCGTGTTCTTTCGCATTCTATATCTATCAAATATTCCATCATAACTTCCATCCACCTACACGAACATCTCTCTAATTACATGTAAGAATCACAATTAGAATGTTCCAGTGACAGACTCACCGGTGATGGAGGCGGTTGGTGAAATGGCGGATGGATTAGCACGTGGCGGCGGCGAGAAAGCACCGGAGAGGTATCCACCGCGATCGGCGAGGGCCTGTTTCGCCTTATCTACACTCTCCTTGAGCCTCTGGAAGGTGCTACCGCAGGTTAGGCCGCGGTACGGCCAGTTTTCCTGCTTCACGCCGGCCGCGGTTACTCCTGCGGCCGCGGCCGCGGCTCCGGCCCCAGACGCTCCTTTTAATTCGAGCGCACCTGCGTACGAACAGCTAGCGCTGTCGTACATCACCAAAGAGCCCCTGTAAAACGAACCAAATTGTCTTTTAAAAAAGGGGAATTACTTATGGAAGGTAAATAGAAAATAGGATTCATATAAAATCTAGAAAATTATTAAATATTCTAAGCTAAAATTTGATATTTTAGGTCCGTTCATCTCTCCACCACCATCTTTAGAATTTTCGTCGATTGGTCCTTGGTTAGTCTTTTGATGGGATACTTTGGAAATGATAGGAAATTCATGGAAAGCATGTATATATACCGTGCCTTGGAAACTGACTGAAATTTGAAATCAAATCTGGCCAATTTTGAAAAGTGGTAGATTCTCCAAAACATGAAAGTGTCTGTTTCCTTTATCGAGTGCGAGTGAGATACATGTATGATATGGGACAGTAGACATGCTTAGTTTAGTCACGCTTGTTTGTATGTTTTAGGGACATAAAACTGGGGACTTCAAGAACTAATCAGCTAATTTTCAAGGCACTACTAATGCGCATGAAGAATACGAAGAAGTGCATTATGTGGATTAAAAGTTTTGGGAAAAATAATTGACGAGGAATATTGTTTTTGTTAGCTAAAAAGTAGCAGTGAAGAGAAGGATAGAAAAGTAACATAAATGAATGTCCAGTGAAATGATAGAAGTGTAATGTAAACGAAAGCGGTACATAGATGAGTCTTCACCAGAATAAGTCACTAGAAAATATATTGTGTAACACAGACTCTTCTAATTTTACGATGAATCATAATCAGAATTTGTAGACAACAATGTTAACAGAATAGCCACTACTACAACTCTTCATAGCAATCATGTATTATAGTAGGTAGTGTCGTTAAGGATCATTAAAGGACCCTTGATGCATCCGGTAAAGTCACGATCGAATTAAATCGAATGAGTATGTGAGCAAGAAAGTTCCTTGCTTATTAACGGAGCGGTAGTCTCATTAAAGAAAACTTGACTCCTCATGCAAAAAATGTAATTAAAATTAAAAACAGTACAAAATGTTCGAAAAGATCATCGATAAAATGTAATTGAAAATATTTTTATAAAAAGGTAGACAAAATCGTTCGATAAAGTTTTCAGACAAGGTTGAAACAATGAATTATATTTTCAGCTTTTACCCTTGTTCATTTTAATTAGATATTGAATTAGGAAATACCTCCTTCATCTAATGAAATGGAATTCCGTTCTTGATAATCATCGTGAGTCATTGATAACTCACACATTGAGAAAGGTGTCTGTTAATAGATTATACAGATCGTTACCTAAATCCTATATCTATGATCTATCCATTATGGATTATCTCGAACCATGACACTGCAATGACGTTTCGAACATGAACAATAATGTTATGATCATTATGATCAATTAATCAGTCAGCGCATACTAATCCATTAAGAAAGATCCTTCGATAGTTTTGACGCTATATTTGAATTGATACACTGACACATTTTTGGAAAATTCAAGACTCTTGAAGCAACTTAATGCAAATTTCTGAAGTGTTGCATATTGAACCAAGGAACCTACATTTTCCTGATCATTTATAATGTCAAAGCAACTGAGTGCAAACTTCCACAGCGTACAATTGTAGTGAAAAAGGATATAATACATTTTCACGTTCTCCAACAACGCGAAGATCTCAAGACAATTCGATGCAAACTTCCAACGCCTCGTATTAAAAAATATACGATATATACGCTTTTATATTTTCCTTCAACTAGGTAAGTTTTTAAAACACTTAGCACAAACTTCCAAAATTTAAAAGACTTCGTTAAAAAAAGAAAAAATGAATTAAATATTTTTATATATTTCGATAACAAAGAAATTTTACAGCGAATTAATACAAATTTTCCAAATTTAAAAAATAGGAAATTAAAAAATGGACGAAAATGATACGTTATTAAATCTTCCAACTATTTGGGAATCTCGAAGAATCTCCGGGGAACTGCAGAATCCGGTGGCAGAGAAGATAGCCGCGAACGAAAGGCTAACTGGAGGGAGATTACGTGCACGTTACAAGCGGGAACTCGTAATCGATCTGTCGTAATTTAGGGAGGAGCAGGCGGGTGCCGCGGTGCATCTGCCGGCCGATCTACATTTTATCGACGCGGCCTCCAACTTATCGCCTTCCATCGGAATTCCGAAAGTGATAGCATGACGACATTTGCATCGTTATCGTCAGGAACGCTATCGTCTTCTATCTCTATTTCAAATCAATTCGATAAAAAGAAAAAAGCGTAAGGTATCCATGTATAAAAATAAATAACGTTTCTTCTTCACGCAGGGCATCTTCTTCGGAAACTAGATTCCTCTTTCGTTATTCGTCGAGTACCAGCGAGATCTATCGCTTCCTCCTACGAGTTACGTGAATTATTTGGCTAACAGGAAACGAACAATGACCAGAGGAAGAATAGAGGTTAGTTTTACCTGCTGTCGCTACGACGATGTCCACGATAAAATGCGAGCTGCACACCGTACACGTTGACCATCGATCGTCTTCGCGATAAGAAAAGAGACGACTAGAAATTTTCTTTCCCCAAGAAAATGAAATTATCTTCGAGATACTAGTGTATCTTGGTACCAAGCATCGTTCGTTCAACGGGCACGTAGATGTCGTTGGAAACAGTGAATTAACTGGAAAGCAGCGAAAACAGTTCGGAACTGAACGCACCGCGCGGATGTCCACAATGTATCGAGGTCAATTTAATCACGTTCACAAAACTGTCACATAATCATGGTGCACCTCCGGCGGCGAGCAAGTATACGGTTTCCGCGTCCCGTCAACTGATCCTGAATACTAGGTAATTGATATCCACTCGTATCTGTATGATCTTCCCATATTTTATATTATTCTTCTATTACGAGCCCTTTTATCGCCAACGAATTTTTACATTGATCAAATAAGACCTCATTATATAGTATTACGTTATTCAGGAGCAACGACATTGAACTCGATCCTTGAACACGCATCTGTAATAAGAATTCTCTTAGGAGACAGATTTACGAACCACTATTTGCTCGGGATCCTTTCCAGCTATGACCATATCGTCATTGCATATGTGTCTTGTTTAAATCTCCAGCTCGGTATTCCTTTCGTATTCATCGATTAATTATCGTCTTCCTACAATCGTTCCAATCTCCCATCAGCACTACACTAATTGTTTCTACGCTTGTACATCGTTGTATTCCAACGAAGAAGCTTGACAAGCGATTTTTTCCGACGTAAAATTTCACTCTGTCATCGATATAAACAATAAATCGATCGGTCAAAGATTTCGAGGAGGTTCGGATTGGCGGGATCACGATGAGTAGGGCGCGTGCGCAGCCTAAGCCGATCCGTCGCGACACGGGATTGTCAGATATCGGCTGGTGAAGAGGCTGGACCTGATATCAAGAAGAAGGTACTCCGGGCAGGTTGTCTCGCGCAACTGCGGCCGCCGCGGCCAGCAAATTGCCTGCTTCCGGGCCTCATTACATCACTCTGTTACTCTGTTAACGCTCGCCGGAAACCCCTCTGCCTACCTCGTCTAAACTCTCTCTCGCATGTACCTACACACACTACTTAAATGCACTGTGTCGCGAACGACGCGGTCGCGCGTACTTCCAATATGAAAGAGAGAGAAAACGATATATGCGTCCACCTTGTTCCGTTTTCTTGCCGTTTTGATGGTGGACTAGCTGTAGTATCAAGATTTGGTTAGTACCGGATGTTAAATGCGGTTTCTTATGCGTATTGAAATCTTAAGAATGATACTGGGTTCTCTGTTTTAGGTGGAAAGTTTGTCGGATGAAGCAGCCATTGAATGGCGGTTTCTTATTGCTTCTAACGCTGATGTCAAGAAAGGTTGGTATTTGATTTTTTGGTAATGTCTACATTTGAAAGCAAGATGTTACGTTGTTCTTTTCTTGATGGAATGTTCTTTGAATAAACAGGAAATTGAAGTGATAATATTACACCTTATTGTATTTGATGGTAAGGAAGGTTAATGTTTAATTTTGCTTTATTTTGTGATTTATAATTGTTGAAGACTGAATTTATCTAAAAAAAAAACAAGAAAAGAATTCTGAACATTTTAATATTTGATTTTGATGCTGTATGACCCATGATTATTAGAAATTGAATTTATTTAGAAAAATAGGCAAATATATTAGATTCCCTTGATAATTTTTTAACCAAAGACACTAACGTTTTGCATGAGAATGGTTAGTAGTTTGAAGTAAATGTCACTTAGATAATGATTTATTGTGATTTATTTAATTGATTGATTTATACTTCTTACTTTTGTAAAATACGAACTGAAATATCATTTCTTATTACTTATAGTCTTCTTGTGCTGGATACTGAGAGTTTGATTGAAGTTCTATGTATGGATCAATGCTGGACCATTATGAAAAATGAGATTGGAATTTGTTGCATTCTCGATGTTCTTCGAATAAGGTATTTTTTTTACTGAAATTAATATCGAGTTATGCTTTCTTTATATTTCTAGTTAGATTAAGAAAATGAAGAAGTTCAGTCTGGGTTCTTATGATGCTTTTCTCAATTATATACAGGCTATTGATTATAATTTGATAATAAATAAATAAAGACATTAAAAACGAGGTAAAAAATGAAGAACGATTCTAAATTAGTCTTTGCATCCAGTAACATTATATACAGTCACACAAAAAGTTAGCAACTTATTTCACAGGAAGTTAATTAATTTTGATATCAAAGTATAAAACTATGTGGTCGAGACGATACATTTCATCTTGATATTTCTGCTCTAATATGCAAAATACGAAGCCCAAGGGACGATGAAGTTTTTCGTACGCAAAGCAGAAATACTAGTACAGCGATAAAAACCGGAACGACTTCCATAATCACGATCCATGCTTAATACATGACAAAGTTCATCGAAGAAAAAAGAAGACCACGAGGAAAACATGGATATTACTTGAACGAGGCGCTCTTCCTCTAAAAACAGGAATCCTTTAACGACGAAAATAGAGGCGAACGATAACCAGTGAACACATTCTAGCAAGAGCAAGAATACCCATTTAACAAGATTCATGTAAATCTTGAATTTCTCTTAGTAAAAATGCGAAAGAAAAATGGCAGAAAGATGTAAACGAGAGACAAAGGAAAAGAGATAGGGTCGAAAATAGATTTGAGATATCTCGATATCGGTGCACGATGTAAAAATGGAAAAAAAAAAAAAA